GGCTGAATTGCACAAAACGCATGATCGCACCGGCTAGCCTGGTGCGCGTTGCCATTTATTTAATTTCTGTTACAACTCAATAGGGGAACTCAACGCACTTTTTACTAGAGAGAAGATATGGTTCAGCAGTGATTTTGATGAAAATTAGTAATTCCTGCAAGATATGAAAAGTATGTCACGGCTATCAGTTGGCTGCCACTGGACAACGTAGAACTGGCCAAAGCAAATGGAAAAGTTACTATTTCTTTTTTGTAGCTGGGGGCCTGCTCTATGAAATGCACCAAAATATCAAAGTAAGTGGAAATACAGCATGCAGTTTGCAATTGACAAAGGTAGCATTTCAGTTTCTTTATGCTGGCAAACTTATTCAAAAAAATTTCAGATGCTTTTCAAACGCACAAAATCTTTGTTCATTTACAGTATCCGGGCATACACTATGACATTTAAATACAAGCACTTTTCTGCACGATACAGATAAGCAAAAAAAAAAGCTTTTGTCAGTCGGCAGCTCAGTTATTTTTTGTAATATATGTAAATATTCGAAAAACTGTTAGAGAATTTTTAAAGCACAAATGCTAGTAAAAAATTTCGCCCTATCTTATTGTCATTGCCTAAAATCGTATAATTGCAAATATAAGCAGACAAAAAATTCCAGGTTTCCTTGCAAGACGTTTTTGCATGCTCGGCAAATCAGTAGCCTTTGTTTGATGCACTACCAGTATTTTTTGCAGCTGCAGCATTCTTGTGATTTTAGGCAATGACACCTGAACCAAATGAAGGTACTTTCTTGAGAGTTTTTAACCAAAAACGTACGGATGAAACAAATTTTCTTGAACAAAACACACGCACAACACACAGAAGTTACCATTAAGCAATGCGCATTTGCAAATACCATTCTGTGCCATATTAACTGTTTTGTTAATGATGTTACTTAAATGTTCCCACGTGCCAAACGCAGCAATGCGAGGCCCTTAGATCCCGCGCTGCTTGCTTTCAGTGTACCCACCGCTTGTTCTACGGACGTGCTCCACCCCTTCGGGACTCATCCAAATGGTCAGTTATTTTCTTGATGATGCCACTGACTAATGTGCATCGTCCACCGGTTATCAACGGGGCGGACAATATGTCCTGCCCATCGGATTTTACTTTCTCGCATAGTCGTAATGATGTCCTGTGCGCCACTCAGCTACGTGAGAGTCTGACTGCTTATATTGACCGGAGCTCCGTCACAGCTAGCGCTCGCTCTTCAGCCCTCCTCAGTAATCATGTTGCAAAGAGATTGAGTTTGAGAAAACGGTGCGTGACTTTATTCTCGATATCGGCCTGCAGCTGTAGGCGCAGGCCATTCATGATGGCATCCGTTTATCACCTAGAATTCTTTGCAGCTCTCGCTCTCCGGTTGCCGATTTTTTGCCGCAGACAGGCCGAAAGGAGCGCGGGATGCTGGTGTTCATTCATATTTTTATTTCGTGTTTGTTCCCGTAATGCTTTCATTTGCTTAGCGCGCATTACCTTTTTCTGCAAAACTGCTTGGTTTCTTTCTGCATTACCGATCGCTGATCAGGCTGACATTGGTTTGGACCGCTCAAGTTTAGCCAGAGAGATATGAGGTAGTGTTTTCTCGACATGTTTGAAGGTGCCAGAGTTGTACCACGTTGTTCCTCGACATACGTTTTGTCAGTGCGCTTCACGTTGGCTTTTCGAAATGCTTTACTTTACAAAATGCTTTTGTTTCTTCTC